ATTTTTTGGTGAGTTATAGATCGTAAAAATCTCCGTGTGGTCTGCGAGACCATAGATTGAAACGGCACCTCGGTACCTAAAGGTTAAACAATAGTAAAACTGAACAGAGAAGTATTGATTATTCCGAGTTTGGTGATACAGAACTGACTATTCGTGGAATATTCGAGGGACAATATAATAATAATAATAATAATAATAATACAACCTGTATTTCGATCAAACGTTTCGAGATTGGTAGAAAAGAAAAAGATCGAATCTCAGGATCTCGATGACGACGGGTATCCGGGGATAATCCCGAAGAAACCCGACGCCTGCCACAAACGTCGGTAGTTTTAGTGAGCGCTCGCGCGCACGCGACAAGACCGACTAGCTACGATCTAATCCTATTTTCGTTAGATCCGTTAATGGTTAATGGGAGGCAAAGTGGTCAGCGACCGGAACAAGGCCTAAGTCCGTCTTAAATCCTGTAGGAGGGAAACCCTTGTAGCCCTTAGCCAAGGACCGTAATCCGCGCGGCACAACTATTGGCGTTTCTCTCCGGTGGCGATCTCAGGGAGTCAACCGAAGTCGCGGAACCGTGAACGTTCCTCGTCGGAATCTCCTTGAACCCCGTCGACGAATCAAGACAGCCACACAGGGAGAATTTCCGTCGTCGGTCCATATGACACCTGGTCGGTCACGAGCACACGATATTCACCGTTTATTTACGAGAGTAGCTGCCTTCGTGTACGCCTGGCAATAACGTCTTGCCCCGAACCGTCTTTCCGCTCGCCTGGGTCGCAGACAATTCAAGTTCCGGCGAGAATCATGCCCGCGGGAGAGGACAAACTTGCCGGTAGACGAACGACCGTTACGCGTTTATAATATGCAAGGGTGGAAACAATAATATCGTTGTTTCGGCCATACGGAAACCCACCCCTTCACTTCCCCCGCTTTAAAGGGAACCCTTGCGCGTGTTACGAATAACGCTACGCGCTGGATTAATCGGTTTCCAGCTATTAAATTTATGAAATTCACGTGGCTTCACCGCTGCCATAGGAGATAAAAATCCAACGGTTTTTCCGCTTGGAACACGGCTGTGGCAAAAAAACTTCTTGGTTACTTAAACGAAAAACCCTACTCGGAGGAAGATGGATCGGACACCACGGAACTCGAGGAACCGTAGATGAGAATAAGAGAGAATACCGGGAGCGGATCTCCCGGGCGGATGGAGGTTCTAAATTACCGAAATAATCCGCCGGTTAATTCCCAGCGGGCGGTTTATTACCTCGCCTCGATCCGTCGAAATTAAATCCGTGCAACGGTCGAGGAAATGTCGTTCTCTCCTCTTCTGGCCCTCCCAATCGTAGACGCCTCGAAGTTCGTACTATATTGTGGTGTGTGGGCGAATGTAGTATAGATCAGTTGTGGGTATGATTGTAGCTGAATGAGGTTTTCTAGAGCAAAGTGTGAATTACGTCTGTTTAGTTTCGTATTGGAAGAATTTATTCTTGTTTTGTCGTCTTTTATTATAATTCCATATTAACCCTCTAACTCTCAGGGTTGCACCAAACATAAATAAAAAAGATCGATTCAAAATAACAAGGTACACCATACATATCGGTACCTTATAATTTTGGAATAACGATGTAAGAGTCTTGCCGTTAAACGATTAAATAATGTTAATATTATTCTGATATTTTGTGCGCCAACTGTTTTATTACCGGCACCCGTATATATCATCCCCACAATATATGTATGGAACGATATGGACTGGTACTGTCGCGTCGCGGAGAGCAGCGGGGCGCGCGTAACACGAAAGCCACATTATACTATTCAAACGATTGCCGGGCCACGCAGCGCGCAACTCACCGTGGTAAGTTGACATTGTTGTTTCTGAGGGTGGCCTGCGGGGGCCCCAACGAATATCTTAACGCCGCGCAGAAGCTGTACACGCGTACACCACGCGTACGCGTCGTCGTACAAGCCCTCCGGGGATGTGAACGCTGCTACACCACCGCCGCCTCCACCTCTGCCTCCTGTCTTCCAGCCGCCATATACTAATCAATAACCATGAATCGCTCCGGTAACAGTGGCATGCACGTTCCGCTGCACCGTTATTGTTGCCCGGCCCCCGAGAGTGCTCGGGCTACCGTGAATATTATTATCGGCCGCTAGGATCCTAGCCTAGGCTCTCTCGATCCCGCCACGCGATAGTCCCGCTGCACCCTGGCCCTCGAAACGAATGTAATTTCGCGACAGGTGCACCTGGAACGGCCACGACTCTCGGTTTCGTGAATTCCGCGAATTATCCGCGATAAAAAATGCGCCTCTTGATCGTATTCCTCGAACGATTCTATAGGAGATAACGTAAATTCGTGAAGAACTCGAGAGTCCTCCATGATGAAAGAAAATGAGGACAAACGAAAACGTGCGTCGTACAGCTTGGTCGAATAAACCAGCCACGTATAATTCACGGTTTATGGAGCGACACGCGATTAAGGGCTGCTCGGTGTAATTGACGCGGGAATGATGGAAACGGAGCCGGGACCTTCGTAGGGGGAAGAACTCGATAGCCCCCCGTAAAATCGGTTTTCTTACCATCCACCGTGAGCTACCTATTCACCGCGGCCTACCATTAATTCCTGAAATTTTAATAGGCAAGAGAGAGACGCCGCGAACGAATTTCAATAAACTCCGCGCACTTTCCCTCCCTCCATCTCGAAGGGGAATCGATTTTCGCGAGCTCAGACTTATCCTGGCTCCTCTAGCCGCCGATGAATCTTTTGGTCGGTAACTACGATCACCAGAGAAGGAACACCTCGGGGGTTCGTCGAAAAGGAAATGGAAAGACAACGAGGGAAGATCGTTTAAAACCGAGTCGATTTCATTCGGGTCCCAGGCTGATGAGCAGCAAGCTCGCGGAGAGGGCTGACGTTCCCGTCGACGACGATCTCTAATAAAGTTCAATTATCCCCGGAAACGTTAGGTACCGAGGGAAAGGTGGAGCGTGTAGACCGTGAGGAACGGGGCGGGGGAGGGGAGACACGAAACCGTCGGACGCGCCCCAACCGTCGAGACGAGAGAAAGAGAAACCCGGGAGAGATGATAATCTAAACGATCGCAAAGTGGGCTGCAGAAACGCGCCGAAATTGGCAATAACGGGGTGGCGAGGGGGACAAGGGAGGAAACGGGGGCAACAGCAGCAGCCGCGTAACGTATACGCGCGCTGCCGCACATCGCCGGAGAGAGCCCCGGCGCGAACTTCCTATTCTGGTTAGCATTCAAATTGAATCTTCGTGGCGGCCGGTCGTGAAGAGTTACCGCCGTTAATGGACCTCGCAAACGCTCTCAAATTGCCGGCAGACTGGCTGAGACGACGCGGCCCTACCTAATCTACCGGCTTGATTCCCAGCGCGGCTCATCGACCAACCCGGCCAGAATCTATCCTCCGCGAGCTGAACGAACGTCGCGGAATTTTCCGGCTCGTTCTTCGTTCTCGTTCCCCATAGAATCGTCTTCATCGACATCACTATCATCGACGGACTACACTGCGTGGCATAATTATAAAACTACCCTAAAATTTTCAGTTCTTACGTATTAGTTGTTAGAACGACAACAAACTATGCAAAGTCTGAAATCATGTCTGAGAAATAATGTTTCTCCAGAAGAGGATAGATTATATTCCCTAGAAAAAGGGGTTCGTTTTTGTTTTGACCGCAATACATAAGGATTACCGTACACATCGGTAAAAAGTATGAGACTAGAGTTTGGGAAGTCAAGAACTTCGAAAAAGTGAAAGTTACGAAAATGAAATTAATCGAAAAATGAGAGGAAATTGCAAACAAGAAAGAAATAAATAAGAATGTGATATCAACTGAAAAATATACATTGAACCCAATACACATTGCAATCGTAGTAGGCCTGTACCTCGTCGATGATTTAAGTTAATCCTAAGTCACCGAAGATCTCGTCCCACGAAACCTCCCCCGGTTCGCGTCTCGATTCGCCCGACCGTCGACAAAATTTTATTGGCGTTCGGGGGCAATCGTTACGGGAACGGGATCCTGCGGAATATCCGCAAATTGGCGGCGATCTAACGAGCAGCTTTATCAGTCGATGAGCCGCGAGACGCGCGTTACGAGCCGCGCGGCTCATTGGCTGTCGATGTAATTCGAGAGGCAGACGACCAGAAAAGGCAGAGAGGAAGAAGAGGGTGGTGAGCCCGCGCGTCTCTGTTCGCCGCCCCAACTTTTGCTCCTTCCGTTAAAACGAATTAGCCTGGCTCGATTTTCGACCCCGGAAACGTATTACCTCGGTTGAAAAGCGGCATCTTTTCACCGTCGACGAGCAGACGGGAAAGATATCTTCCAACTTTGATTTCGAGCCGACGAACAGGATCGATGACGACGAGGCTTTTCGAACTTTCATAAACCCTGATTTCGAGCCGACGAACGCGATCGATTCTCGGTTCTTCGAAGTTTCGTAAATCTTGAAATCGACTCTGGATTCAAGAGACGCGCAAAGACAGAGATTTCCTCCCTCGTAGAGATTCGAAATGGTTAATTCGTCGAGCGGCTGGTCCCAGGGGAACACGGGGGGTCCCTCGTCTCGAAGACGGAGAAACGTGGCGTAGGGTCCGAGAAACACACTACGGCCCCGTAGACAAGGTACTACGACGAGCCTCGAATCTCCGGTTCTTGATGTAATTCTATTAGAGGTAACTATGCGAGTCCGCTCGTCGTCCGTTGGCTTTAATCACGAATCCGCTCGACCGTGCGATATTCTCTCTATCCTTTACCCGAGGAAAACGAAACGAACATTTAAACGTGTCCGCCTGACATTTTATATACCCCGTGGTTATTTCCTCCTGACCCCAAACAACTCTTTACAATTTCTTTCTTTTCATTCGAATGCATAAATCAACCGATCACTATGGAAGATTTTGTAAACTGTAATATCTACTTAATTCTTACCACGTAAATTCGTCTCTGTATTGTATTTTCCGTTGTGTTTTTCAGCCGAGCTGAAGATGGACGTGTTACGGGAGAGGGAAGTGAAAGACAGCCTCGAGCGTCAGCTTCAGGATGAACAGAAGGTCCGAGGTGAGTGTACCCGAATGATTCTATTGGTTTCATAGCGAACCGACAGGACGTTCGTCGTTCGATGAAATTCCACGAGCCCGATTTACGGACGCCTGTCCCCGACGGGGCGGATACTCTTTACGGCCTTTGGAAAATTGACTCTCCTGGCAAACGAGCGGGCCGGTCTCTCTCTCTCTCTCTTGGCTATTGGAAGACGTGGGGCGGCTAAAGGATTCGCGGCGGACGATCATTCGCGAATAGTCGACTGTCGACGGAACGTAGGAACGGTTAAACTCGACGATAAATCATCGAGTCACCCATAGAGAAAGAGAGACACATGCACGCTATAAACTTCTCGAGACCGCGTATCCTATTATTCCCCCGTTCGTGGGGGTTGGACGCATCTAGCCGAAGTCCGAGCTCCTCCTTCGAGTCACGTTTCATCCCCCCCCCTCCCCTTGTTGCTTTCGCGAGGTCGCGTTTTAATGGAAGGGTTGAAAGAGGACGCACGAAGTTAAGCGGGAAAGGAACGGAAGGGAACAACGATGGAAGAGGACCACGGCAAAAGCCCTCGGTGATCGCTCGACCAAGTTTGTATCGAATGTCAGTCCGTAATAGAATAGTCGTCTCGCGTTCACGTGCTGCCCAGTGCTTTGACCACCTACTCTCTCGCGTATGTACGATCCTGCGACACCCACTTCCCTTTGTCCAGAGACCTGCCGTGTTCTCTTCTTTCGTTCGGTACCGAGGATGAAGGCCGAGCCTCGTGATTACTCCATTGTCGATTCGAGATCAGTCCAGAGAATCGAACCCTGGTATCGATACCGTCAAATAATTATTAATAACCGTAACAACGTTCTTCGTGGCCCTCGAAATTTTCGCAAAACGCAAATCCACAAAACCCCCGACGAATCGATTCGACGGTGGTGAAGAGACCTGCGAGCTAAAGCCGAGAACCGAAGCGAGATAAAGGGGTAGGGCAAATTCAATATCACGGATTTTTCCGCGGCAAAAGATGTCGGGGCGTCTCGGTTGACGCGAGCACAATGCGAACGCCCCCTCCATCCCTACCGATAAATATGTAAAAGTCGAGAAGACCGACAGGGAAATATCCGCGCGAGCTTCGGGGCGGACCGGTGGTCCTCTCTGGCCGGCACGTAACGGTATATTGCCCTCGGAATGAAAAAAGTCGCTATCCCGTCGACGTAGCCGCGGCGGGCGCGTCCTCGCTCGCGTCGATCGTCGAGGGTGAAGCGCATTTTTTTTTTTTTGTTCTCTTTCTCTACTACAGTGGATGGAGGAAGTCGGCGATGGCGAACGCGTTTCGGTCGATTCGCAGGAAAAACGAGTTGCCGGGGTTCGGCCCTCGCGGTAACACGAGCCTGTGACAACAGCAGTCCATTAGTCAACCAGCTCAGTGTCAATACATGAATATGACAGCCGGTCTCACGGAACAGGCCATCTATTCCCTTCGCGCCCGACTCGTCTTCGCCCATTCCCCCCTTCCCGCGGTAATGTCAACCGAGCTGCTTCCACGATATCGCAAATATATAGGAAATAGTGTGTGTCTCTCTACCATAATACTTGGAACCTTTATCTATCCCAACGCGAAACTTTGACTTTCCACGCCCTCCTTACCCTCCTCTTACGTCTTTGTATTCCTGTCTCCACGTGCAGACGATCGATGGAGAACACCGGAAGAATTCGTTCGAACTCCTGGCTCGTCTTTTGGTCACCACTGGGGCGGGAAGGAGGAACTGTTTTCGAGGATTCGCGGAGGCGAACTGGGGACGTAAGACGATACACCTAATTTGCGCGCGTAGAGGCCTCCTGCGGTCTCCTGAGCGGGATGATCGATCATCCGGGGGAATATTGACGCAACCATCCCCGCTCGCCCCCGAGACCCACCGTCTTTCATTCGGCTAATGACCGCCCCGCGTAAAGAAAAAGGCGCCTTCTCTCTCTCTCTCTCTCTCTCTGTTCGCCCCGACATCGCGGGGCGGTGGTTATTCGGGGATACGTCGCTTTCTCGTGTGCCTTTAATACATTAAGAAATACGTCCTATTCGGATCGTCCCGTGAGTAATATCGAAGCATTCCGAGAACCGAGTTTCGTTGGGGTTGAGACCAAGAATTATCCATCATGGTCGCTCGGTTTAATAAGTTAACAGTACCATTGTGAACACCGCGTACCGTATTATGTTAATATAAAGACGAGCGTATTGAGTTACTGGACTCGAGTAATTCGTTCGAGGATATATCACTTGAGGAGATTGGATATTCGGAGGTCCCCGATCCCACGTTATAGAATATATGCGCGAAATATTATTTATTAATGTCAAAGGTGAAAGGGGTAGTTACTCGTCACATAAGTGCAAGGAGTGGCCTACTAACGAATGACTTCGCTTGTCCAATTATTACTTTTTGTGGTAATTTTATATCAGTGAAATTTAAGGAGTTAGCAGTCTAGTATATAATACAGAAATCCGTGGCCCTATCAGGTCTTTTCAGTATACTAATAGTACGAACGATCGATATTACCCGAAAATAGGACAATCTGTTATCGCAAGATTTCAGGATCGTCGCGCTGCAAATTCGTTCGTTCGGGCGATGTATCGCGCGGGATCATCAGGGGGTCGTTATCAATTTTATAGTCGCGGCATCGTCTTGTACCCCGGTCGCAGAGGCAATTTGCGCAATAAGGAGGGAATCGCGAACAGAGGGGGGTGTGGTGGAGGGTTCTAAGGGCAGGGGGGCGCGGTGTTATTAGCCCGTTTAAAGCCCCGCTTGGCATTTTGGTAAAGGTTGAAATCTCCGACCCCCCGGCGAGTCCGTGAAGGCCGTATTATCTTAGCAGGGGTTGCGAAGGAGTCGACCGCCTCCCGTTTCACGTCGTCGCGGGCCGACGGATCGTCTAATGGGACACGCGTTGCTCCCGTCGAACAATGGGCCATGACATTTGCAAACTGCCAATAAACGTCCCAGTCGACAGTATATGTACTTCGAAAGATCGAGAGACAGACATTCCGTCGACGACGCGACGTTTCCTCAAACGGGAACGAAATCTTTATTTTAAGTAGAACGTCGTGCGTAGTTGAAACGCACTACAGAGACTTTTTTTTCGTTACTCGAGGATCGTCGTTTCCCACGTTGTCCCCGAGTTTACGTTCACCAGGGGGCATTTCGGAGGGTCGTTAATCGGAGCTGTTGGTTTTTCAACCGGAATCCGTGTCGTCATCGCGGGGATAACCGTCGTCGAGCCGTAGCTAGGATAACAAATAGAACCACAGAATCAACGGAAAACACACGTTCTGGATTCGATCCGCGGCCGGAAATTCTGGAACGACTTCTCGACGATCGTTTGACGCTCGTACATACTCTGGGCAAAAAGCTCTCTCACTGGCCGTTCGCGTAAACCTCTAGGATCGCCTTGGGAACAGACAGCTGCCTTTAGCAACGTTTTAACGTGAACTTGCGGCCTCCGCCGTAATTAGCTCGAACCTTTTGTCGCCGGAGAGAAACAACCCTTTCCACGGGCGGAACTGTTCCCCAGTCTCCGTCGTTCGTCCTTTTCGTTTTCTTTCGTAGCCGCGGGACCTTTGTCACCTGTGTTCCAGCTTTACCCCCCTCTGAACCCTGTCACCCGGAAGCTTATCGAGAAAATCATGGAAAAAAGCTTGTGGTCGAACGTCAAAAAAAAAATATATATATATACGAATCTTGAAAGGAAATTGCAAGGAGTAGAGTAACCGTTTATTCGCGTGGTTGTGTGTTACGGCGTAGCGACAAACGGAATTGAAACTGTACAATCAACAGGACCGAGATTTATACGCGACGCCAGCAGCTCGCCCCCTTGAATTAGCCCGGCCGTAATGCCAGGATCGGGTGTCGGTGTAATTGGGACCCAAGGGACTTTGCCAGCGCTACAACCCCAACGGCGTATCCTCGACCACGACAGGAGGATCGTCACTGTTCTGTACCCAACTTTTCGCAGCTATCTGCCGGTCGTGTTATCGCTTCGCGGCCGGGAAATCGTTTCGTCGACGACAGAACACACCGTCGATGCTGCGTTGTCATCGGGCGAACTCGGATAGAGCAAAAAACTCAGCCAATCGACGGCCCCTTTTGTCGATATCGACTAGAAATCCGGGGGAGTCTAGTATTTCTCTGTTAATTCCAAAGCATCCTTGACACGCTAACAGACTCGATCGGGGGCCGATCTATAATTACCAACGTCGAGATAAATAATCCGCCAATAGCCGACCGAAGAGGCATCCCATCGAGCGTATCGTCGTCCGCGATTCCGATGCGTCGAGGCGTTATCCTCGAACGAGTGGAAAGCTAATTTCTCAAAAGAGTCTCCGACGACAACGACGACAACAACGGACATCGAGTGACGTCGGTGCTCCCGTGCGTAACGATAGCTGATTCGCTTTGAAGTGAACGTTTACACACATCGACTCTCCCGGACACCCTTCCACCTCCTCCCGGCAGTATTGTAACTGCTCACGATCCGAAGGGGCGCGGCGTAGGGTTCGCTGCGACAGAACACCGTCGCACGCCCTCGTCTCCGTCTGACAACCACCGTCGTTCCTAGACCTGTCCAACCCTATCCCATTTACGTCGATGACCACCCTTCCTTCTGCATTCGCCGGCGAATCCTTTGCCCGAGACCATTCTGATTCATTGAATCCTGCATCCGGAAACGCGAAACAACGCACCGCAGCAACGTCGCGTCGGGACAAACATTAGGAGCCTCCGGTGGCGTGAGGATGGTGCAGCAGGCTTTGTCGTCGGAAATGTTCAGTGGTTGGTTATTCTTTTCTTTTTTACTGGAAATATGACGACAGAACGGGGGGGGGGGGTGAAAGGACATATACAGAGTGGTACAACAGGAAAGGGGATGATTCTACATAAAAAAATATACAATGAAATTTGTTCATTGGGAGACCTTGTTATCGAGAAAATTGAATTTGAAAATTTCTTGGCTAGGCATGCAGTTGAATAGGACTTGTCTGTTCA